AGACATAATGGTCCTCTCCCAGAAATTGATAGAACTGGTAGAGAAAACCAGTAAGCATATAGAAGACCTAACAGCATTATAAACCAACCTGATATAATTGACATTTATAGAACATTCCACCCAACAATGCACATAAAATGATCTTTTATAAGTGCAAATGGCACATTCAGTAAGATATTTTGGGGCAAAACAAACTTAACAAATTGAAAAGAACTTAAATTTTATGTTTTCTGACCATAACTGAATCGAAAAGTGCTATACAGTAGCTCACTTTGTAATCCCTTGGTGCGTTTTCACTGTTGAACTTGGCAATTTTATACATCCAGAGTACATTGTTAAACAACCAAACTGATTCTTGTTTTCAAGTGACTTCAAAGCTCAGCAATGACTTAAGCGCTGTTAGAGAATGTTTTGGTGCACTTCTGAGTATCAGTTATCTTTATTTTCAATGGAAATAAATCCAAAAGGCAAGTAGCTGTTACATTTTCTATATGTTAGAATAAAATAATTGTTTCATCTTGGACATTTCACCTTCTAACTTTGAAAAACTTAGAATGCAATTCTTAAATTCTGAAGTATTCCATTTTTGGTTTGACAGTCTGAGAATTGCTACTTCAACTTTTCCTTTAAAACATTCTTCCTACAGGGACGCCTGGGTGGCTCAATGTTAAGCGTCTGCCTTGGGCTCAGGTCATGGTCCCAGGGTTCTGGGATGGAGCCGGCATTGGGCTCCCTGCTCGGCGGGAAGCCTGCTTTCCCTCTCCCACTCCCCTTGCTTGTGTTCCCTCTCTCGCTGTGTTTCTTTATGTCAAATCAATCAATCAATCTTTTTAAAAAAATTCTTCCTGGGCGCCTGGGTGGCTCAGTTGGTTAAGCGACTGCCTTCAGCTCAGGTCATGATCCCAGAGTCCTGGGATCGAGTCCCGCATTGGGCTCCCTGCTCTGCGGGGAGCCTGCTTCTCCCTCTCCCACTCCCCCTGCTTGTGTTCCCTCTCTCGCTGTGTCTCTCTCTGTCAAATAAATAAAATCTTTAAAAAAAAAAAAAATTCTTCCTATAGCTACAGGACACATGAGCAATGAGTTTTGTCATATAGATGTCTAACATACCGTATACCTGAATAATAGTGCAAACACCTTTGAAAGCAAGATAAAACACATGATAGATCATTAGTCACCAAATAAACCAAATGCATCAACTGAGAATCGGGCAATAAATGGTATTACTGCAAAGTGAATAATCATGCATTCAAGTACCAGGTATGGCATTTTCTGCTATGATACGATTTCGTAAGTGTCTATCATCACATAACAAAAATTATACAATGTAATTAGCATTTTCTTGTTTAAAAATAAATTTTAGAAGGAAAAATATACCTAGCAAAGACTACCTATTAATATCTCACAAAACTCTGTGCCTGGAATGGAAACACAGTTTTCGAAATGCTGCCTTAGGGTTTACTTTGACTCCTGATTCAATGTTATTTTCTCACTCTCCCCCCCTACCCCCCGCCCTTAAATTCCCTGCTCTGGAGTAAGTAACATCGTGTCCTGAAACTGCCGGAAAAAAAACAAACCCCTGTTCAAGGAAAATATTTAGAAACATAGACCCCTGGAATGTGAAATGAAAACCAGAGCTTAAGAAAAGAAAGACAACAAGAAATAGTCAAATGAAACTTTGACAATATAAAGGAATGAATCTCATTTACGATTGCGTACGGACGTGTGGTGTTCGAGCAAAAATTGCTTATTGGTCAGGTTTTTGCTCTTGGATGACAAATGACACTGTAACCTCTCTAGGGTGGATCACTTCCAAGTCCTCTACCTAAAAATTCAAGAACGGATGTTTAGGACTTGTATTGCAGACTTCCAATCACGCTCCTGTGTCTTTTCAATACAATGAAAAACCACCAGGGGGAGAAACACTCAAAACACTGGACCCTTACTAGCCGGGATCTCAAAAGGCAACAGATCCCATTACTTTCAAAGAAAGGGGTGGAGGAGTGGGCTTCTGCGGCACGCAGCACCAAAACTTGAATCTAATCTATAGCTAAGATGGCTTTTCTGAAGTCTCCGTGCACTTCGGACACTACACGAAAAAAGCTCTTCTTCTCAAGTCAGAATTGAATCCTACAAGCTGATTCAGATCTGAATTAAAAAGCATTGCAAAAGGTCTCCCCGGAGTGAGTCAAAGGATGGCAGAGGGCAATGGCAGTGTATTCCTCTTCCGATTTGGGCTGTAACTTAACTTTACATCGGCAGAAGGACGCGCAGCAACTATTCCTAAAATGCCTCCTTTCTAGTTCCATAACCAGTTTGCGTTAGCCACTGACAGCGGCGGTGAACCACCGGGGCCCCTTCTCTCTCCCCCAAACAAGAGGAAATCTCATTTCCTCTACGGGAGTGAAAGTGAAGCAACTCACTCGATCCCAATACTCCTATATCTCTACCCTAGCCTGCCTAGTTCCCGTGGAAACAGATACACAACACATATGCCGTCCTAGGATGACACAACAGTCTCACTGCTGCAAAAGACGGGGCATAAACCCAAGCTCCACAGAAAAGCACCCCTCCGCCACCCGAACTTCGGGCGGAAAAGCAAGGCGCAGGCGCACTGGCACACTGTTACCCGATTTGCCCACTTCCCCCTCCCGGTCTCAGCAATTTCACTTCCCCTCCTTTGGACATCTGCTTCCGGGGTATTGTAGGCTCAGCCCCTCCTCAGCTCTAACCCTCCTCTGCCCGAGGAGGGGGGGAGTCGAGGGGGTGGGGAAGAGTTCGTTGTTTGTTTACACGATGTGAGCGGAAAAAGAGACCAATAAAGTTTATTCTGGAAACAAAAGGAAAAAAAAACAGGGTGACAGAGAAAGGAGACGGGGGCGGGGGCGTGTGGCGGGGGCTAGAGAGGAGAGGGAGCTAGAAGGAGAAAGCGGCAGTTCCGGTGCCGCCGCTGCGGCCGCTGAGGTCTTGGGCTGCTGCTGCCGCGGCCGCTGGGGCTGGGGCCGCCGGCGAGGCAGGGCTCGGGCCCGGCCGGGCAGCTCCGGAGCGGCGGGGGAGAGGGGCCGGGAGGCGGGGGCCGTGCCGCCCGCTCTCCTCTCCCTCGGCGCCGCCGCCGCCGCCGCCGCCCGCGGGGCTGGGACCCGATGCGGTTGGAGCCGCGGAGCCTGGAGGAGCCCCGAGCGTGAGTAGAGCGCGGACCTGCCGGGAGCGGGCGCGGCCGGGATGGGAACGGGTCGGTGTGGGGGCCTCTCCGGCGCGCCCGTGGTATTGGGCGGGGGCTACCCACGGGTCGTCTCTCAGCGTCGGCCCGCGGCGGAGTTCGCCTGTGATCGCCGCTCCCCGTTCCCCGCCTGCCGCTGGCCTCACCCAGATGCAGAGGCGAGGGCTCGCCGCTTACTCTCCTTTCCCCCCTGGCTGCCGCCTCGCTCCAGGTTTCCTTCCTCCCTCGTTTTTTGGGATGGGGCGGCTGGAATCTGAGGAAGTGCACCCAGGGCCGCCGCCCCGGTCGCGGTAGCTCGGTCCCCCTCACCCTTGCACGCCCACCGGGCCCGCGGGTGGCGGGGCTGCCGCGAGCACCGCGGCGTGAGGGACCCTGGCGGAGCCGCGAGCTGTTCCGTAGGGGCTGTCATGCCCCAGGACTCCGGCCCCGCCAGCCCGGCGACCCTGCGTTTGCCTCACGCTGAGTTTAAATCGCCCGGCTGGGGCAGGGAAGGAAAACCGCTCTCCCCACCCCGCAGTTCCCCTCCCACCCTTCCTCTCGAGGTTGTTTTTTTCCTTTTAACCGAGACAATCAGACCTATTGGATCTTCATTCATAGACCTGAGACATTGTCTCGTGATTTGTGTCTTTACTAAGTCTATTATTGATGCCCGTTTCATAGCTCCTAAGTGGTTCAGAAAGGTAGGGTACGCCCAGGATTGGACTATGTAAACACCAGACGTTCAGCCTGTGTTTTGACCGCGGCTTGAGGGGTTTATTTTAGGATGCTAAAGGAATAGTGGTGATGGTGGCTAGTTCCCAGACTTAGGAATTGAAAGCCATTTTCTTAGATGTCAATAACTAGGGAACTGTTTACATAGCTATACGAAGGATAAGGGAGCGCAACAAGGGGGGCTTTGAGGAAAACAGCCCGCATATTCTTTAATGATAAGAGTTGTGATTTCGTTTTAGAAAAGCTTCCTCATTCCAGCGCCTTTGTGCACATTCGGTACATGGGTTTTCGAGATGATGTTTTCAATCTAGTTTGTGGGGCCTGGGAGAACCCCTCGAAAACTTGGGTAGATAAACTCCTGGTAACTCAAGTCGGATGATTTCAGTGGCCACATTTGAACCACTGCAGGCAGTATTGGTCGCATGCTTTCCTCCTTAGATAATAGATTCTCGGAGGTATTTGTTTACAAATTTGCTTTTATGCTGGATTGTGTGATGATGTTGAGAAAAGACCTGAAAAACACTTAAGATACCATGTTGCTAATTTAATTTAGATAAATCAGAATACTTTGTCTTTATTAAGAGGCCCTTGAAGCAACTGCAGTGTAAGAATTTGTTAGTATGTCTGTGTATTCAAGTTTTAAGATTTTTTAACTGAAGTGTTGAATTCTGGTTGACAGCATAGATCTCTAGCTAAACATCACATGTTATGGAAAATTTCAATTATCAGATTAACTGTTCTGCAGTGTCATCAACCAAAATTATCTGAAGAGGGCCCAGTAGAGAGAGAAAGAGAGAGGGAGAGAGAGAGAGAGAGTGTGTGTGTGTGTGTGTTGGTGCTTGTTTTTTAAGTTTTCTTGTCTCGTGTTTTGCGATGAAATCAAAATGTCATCCATAACTTTTTTCAAAAGTTTCTTGTGCATTTTTTATCTTTATAAAATTTCTTCACAAGATAGGTGATTGAAAGAAATGATAGCACATCATAATAGTAATAGCTCCGTGGAGGAAATAGCAAGAAAGTAAATGAATATTAACTTAATATCCAATTGACTGCAAGTATAAAGTTTGAAAGGCATTTCTGTCAGTTTTATTTGAAGAATTAAAAATGAACCACATGTAAATGCAGGACAGTGTTTTTATATAAAGTTTTTAAATTTTAAATAAATTGGATATAGCATGAAAGATGTCACTTGATACAATACTGTACTTGAACTGGAAGATTACTGCATGAATGTGTATATTCTCCTGGGGCTGGATATATGTAAAAGGGAGACTGAAAGAACAGTGACTTTGCCTGGCTCTGTGTATGGAACAGTCCTTCTGGAGGCAGAGCTTCCTTCCTGTCAGGATAAGATCCTCTCCATCCCAAATAAGTAGTCCCTTAAAAACAAAACAAAACACCTAGGTTTATAAGTAAAATACTTGCTAAGAAGATAGATCATAGTAACATTTTTCCTAAAACAGTTTGTGTGTAACTTTCCTGATTAGAGCCCTTTACTGAACAAAGAGTTTTAACATTTGTTGTTACCATTAAAGGGCATTTGCTCTGTTGATCTGTTTATTTGAAAAGAGCTAACTTAATCCCAGTTGATCTCTTTAGTAAGTAGAGTAGCATTAAAAGGATCGGTTCTCTATTTTATTATTTTAATATCTTGAATTCCAAGATAGTTGTGATTCTTTAAGTGAAATGCGTTCCTTAAGCATCATAAAAGATCTCATCTTTGGTAAAAATATTTATGATCTTTAAAATTGTGCACTTTGCAGGGAGTCTGCTTCTCCCTCTGACCCTCCCCCCTCTCATGTGCTCTCTCTCATTCTCTCTCTCACAAATAAATAAATAAATAAAATCTATTAAAAAAAATTGTGCACTTTTAGCAGCATAAATCATGGAATATTGTGGTTCATATTTTATTAGCAGTTATCAGGCTGTTTTCTTAAGTGTTGTCTTGAGTTACAGCACTCCTGTAGGCAGGCAGTATTACTATCTCTGAGAAATGACATTTTAATCTAGGGTCACAGGTGTTAGGTGACAGACTCATTGACAAAACCAGTGTTTTCTGACTCATTTTACTATATCAAGCTACCTCTAACCTGCTTCATCCTAAGGGCCAGAGAAGTTAATTACTTAAGATCACCTTTTTCTTTATTTCCAGTAATAAGTATATATTTTAAATTCCCTATATAGCTTAAACAGTAGTTTTCAATCCTGGCTACACATTAGAATCATCTAGTTAGCTTTTTTTTTTTTAAATACCAATACCAGGGTCTCATTCCCAGAGATTCTGATGTAATTGGTCTGAGATAGGACCCAGACATCTGTGATTTGTTTGTTTTAAAGTTCCCCAGGTAATAGTAATAGATAAGATTATAAAGCCCTTTCTTTCAAGGACCTGTATGATTTGGTCCTTGCTTGTCTCTCTAGGTTCATTTCTCCTCCCACAGCTTCCTTGGCCTTTCCCTGATGTCTTGTGCAAGTGCTCTTCCTGAAATATTTGCGCACTCCATACCTCTTCCTTAACTAGCTGACTCCTACTCGTCTTTCATACTGCCTCCTTCGAAAAGTCTAGTCTGGGTTAGGTATCCCTGCTTCCTGTTCCCATAGCATCTTGTATTCCCACTGTCATAGCATTGACTCACTGCATTGTAATTGCCTATTTATTTGTTTGTATCCTCCATCAGGATATACATTCCATGAGAAGGATAGGGAATCCTTCTATTTTATACACAGTTGTATTCTTATTGCCAAGCACAGTAGCCAGTACATAATAGGCACTTATTAACTGAATAAATAAGTATATTGGCAACAGATTTCTTTACAACATGTAATAATTTACAAATACCAATTAAGTTTTTATTCCTGCCAAATACATTTAATATCTTTGGTCACTAAAAATGTATATCTCTGAACTTGACACGCATATAATTTCATTTGGAGGGTCAAGACATTATAAATTATGTATAAATTATACCAAGCATGACTCAACCCCAAACACACACACAAGCAAAAATAAGGATCATTATTATGCACAGAACTGCACTGAAAATCAGGAGACTTGAATTCAAATCCCAGTTTCACCAGAAGCATTAGGTCCTTAGGCAAGTCTCAATCTTTTTGGGCCTCTGTTTCCTCTTCTGTAACACAGAGAGATTGTACCAGGTGCTCTACATGCTCCTCTGTGGTCTAGCCTTAAAATCTTATGAGTACTGGGGCGTCTGGGTAGCTCAGTCGTTAAGCATCTGTCTTTGGCTCAGGTCATGATCCCAGAGTCCTGGGATTGAGCCCTGCATCGGGCTCCCTGCTCCGCGGGAAGCCTGCTTCTCCCTCTCCCAGTCCCCCTGCTTGTGTTCCCTCTCTTGCTGTGTCTCTCTGTGTAAAATAAATAAATAAAATCTTTAAAAAAAATAAATCTTATAAGTACTAAAAATACTGGCTTTGGAATCTGAAGCTCCTTGGTTCAGTACCTGGCTCTTACAGTTACTGGCAGGATTACTTTGGACAGATTTCCTAATCTGCATAATGGGAGTAATTACTATCAGTAGAGTTGTTCTTGTTGAATTAAATGAAATCTAGATCCAAGAGAGTTTTTGTCCTGTATTACTTAATAAATGTTCATTTCCTTTCCCCTTAGGAGGTGTTAGATCTCATGAGTGGACTTACCTGAGATAACAGAAAGGCATAGTTAATGTAATCCTGTTTGCCACTTTGCTAACTGCTAGCATCACACACAGGTGTAACTAGGGACCAAAACCACACTGGCTTTTCGTTTCATTTTTTTAGAACCCCATTGCACTGTCAAACACCAGGTGTTAGCCTACTTGGGAAGTAACTGTGCCTAGAAGTTTCAACCATGACAGAATATCAAGTGCCAAGCTATCAGTACATCTATAGTAAATAAAATGAAGGAGGAGAGAGTCTGGAAACCTTATACCATCTCCAAAGATAAGTGAAATCAGACCTGACCATTCCAAAAGGAGACAAATTAAAACTAAGGGTGATTTATAAAAGAAGACCCAGAAATTTTGGTGAACTCTCTGTTCACCAAAGCTTAAAATTCAGGGATCATTATTTAGTAATTTCTAGGAGATACAGAAAATATACCTCTGGTCAGGACCAAATCCATAAGATAAAATTGCTCTTGATGTCAGATAGCAATTTCAGATATCAACAGACTGAAATTATTGATATTTTTCTCTATTTGGAAGCCATGTTTTTAAATATGTAGTTATCTTAGCCTTTATTTAGTAATAGAGAGTAACCTTACATGCAGTGTAATAATACCTCTTTGCTGAAGTTTCTTTTTTTTTTTTTTTTTAAGATTTTATTTATTTATTTGACAATGAGAGAGGGAACACAAGCAGGGGGAGTGGGAGAGGGAAAGCAGGCTTCCCGCTGAGCAGGGAGCCTCATGCGGGGCTTGATCCCAGGACCCTAGGATCATGACCTGAGCCCAAGGCAGACGCTTAACGACCAAGCCACCCAGGCGCCCCTCTTTGCTGAAGTTTCTTTTTTTTTTTTTTTTTTTTAAGATTTTCTTTATTTATTTGAGAGAGAGAATGAGATAGAGAGAGAGAGAGCATGAGACGGGGGAGGGTCAGAGGGAGAAGCAGACTCCCTGCTGAGCAGGGAGCCTGATGCGGGACTCGATCCCAGGACTCCGGGATCATGACCTGAGCCGAAGGCAGTCGCCTAACCAACTGAGCCACCCAGGCGCCCTTTGCTGAAGTTTCTTGATACCAGTTTTATTTTTATATAAATCAAATTGGTGTGCCTGAGTTTTCCCTTAAGTTTATGTTTAAAGTGAATTTTAAGGCACCTGGGTAGCTCAGTCAGTTAAGCGTCTGCCTTCGGCTTAGGTCATGATCCCAGGATCCTGGGATTGAGTCCCACATGGGGTTCCCTGCTCAACGGGGAGTCTGCTTCTCTCTCTCCCTTTGCCCCTCCCCCTTCCTCATGCTCTCTCTCTCTCAAAGAAATAAATAAAATCTTTAAAAAATTAAAAAAATAAAGTGAATTTTATTACCAACTATACTGGGGAAAAATACTATGATAAAAATTAAAAATTGGAGAGGAGAAACTAAAATGTTAGGGCATAAAAAAGAAATACTAATACTTAATACTTCACAGAGTGAAGTCTGAGGATTCGACTTGAAGGCTTGAGATTTCCATCACTGGGAAAGGTTATTAAACCTTAGATATATCAATAATGTTTTATAGCTCTATCTTATTCACATTTAATACTTTATTAAGTATTACTGTGAACTGATTGATCCTTGTTAAGGAATTTTTAGGTGCTCTTTCTCCCTCTCCCCAAATACATAGTTTGGGGAGTTTAAAGTTAAAATGTGCCAATAAAGAATTTGTAAGTTTATAATAAATATGGTAGCTTAGAGCTTTTTCAAGTTTAATATTTCTTAAGGTGAAGCTGTTTTTAGTGTAAATTATAGACCTCTGATATAGAGGGCTAAGGGACTAAATTCCAGTCCCAAACTGCTACTTTGTGTTTGTGTATGGGGAAGAAGAGGCAGATATATCAAATTTTTGCCTCTTTTCTCTTCATTGATAGGATAGGAATTGTATTATGTTGCTTGCTAAGTAACTTATATAATTAATGAGATAATTTAAGTGATCCCAAATTACATAAAATTAATAAGGAAGAATGTATTCATACTAATCATTATTCTAAGTTTATATCTACTACAAGAATAACATATTTCATATTTAGCCTAACAATTACTCATTTCTTCTAGATTATTTTAGTAGCTACCTTGATAATTTATCAAAATTGTCATTTATTAGAAATTTTTAGTAACTCTTATCATATACTTGGAATTGTTACGAAGGAGTCTTTGTATCAAAGCCAGCATTACCATTTGAAATAAAGGTGGGATTTAAAAAAATAGAATTCTTACAGATCCTACCTAACTGGTACAGTTCAGATTTTATTTTATTTTATTTATTTATTTGACAGAGAGAGAGACAGCGAGAGAGGGAACACAAGCAGGGGGAGTGGGAGAAGGAGAAGCAGGCTTCCTGCCGAGCAGGGAGCCCAATGCAGGGCTCCATCCCAGGACCCTGGGATCATGGCCTAAGCTGAAGACAGACGCTTAACAACTGAGCCACCCAGGCGCCCCCAGATTTTAAATATTTGTGTAGTGGAAGTCAAAAAAGTCAGTGTTGTGATTTGAAAAAAAGCTGCAACAGGATAGAATCATATAATCTGATCATAATTTCTCTTGCCAAACTCAATACTAACTCAGGAGTTAGTAAGACTCAATGGAGAGATGCATCTTACAAAGTTCTATAGAAATTTAAAACAATATTATAAAGATAATTTTAAGCATAAATTTTTTAACAGGAAGAAACCATGTTCATTCTTGTT